AGGAAAGGAAAGGAAAGGAAAGGAAAGGAAAGGAAAGGAAAGGAAGGAAGGAAGGGAAAAGGAAGGGAAAAAGGAAAGAAAGAAGAAAAGCAAGGGAACCAGGTTTCTATAGACAAGGTAGCAGGTGGGAGGGGTCTTGCTATGTTGCCTGGGCTGGTCTGGAACTCAATCTTCATATCTTAGATTCCCAAGGGCTGGATGAGATTTTTTAAGTGTGCTACTAAGCCCATTCTTGTTGGCAAGTGACTACAAGGCCACAGGGATGAGGTCCAGAATATGGCATTATGCATATTCTGCATTCTGTATTCAGGTGAATACTCAACTGAATGCTAGGTCTAGGATACAGTGGAATGCATAAGGCATAGTGAATGGGTTTACTCACCTCTGAGGGATATAGAACATGTGCTGGGGTTGGGGTTTATAGAGTACACCACTGTATATGGGCCAGAGTCCACACAGGATTTGGAAGGGGGAGGAAGGGAAGGGAAAGGAAGAAAAAGGGAAGGAAAGGGAAGGAAAGGGAAGGGAAGGGAAGGGAAGGGAAGGGAAGGGAAGGAGGAAGGAAGGAAGGAAGGAAAAAGGCAAGCAAGGACTTGGTTCTGTCCCCTAAGGCCCCAACATTCCTGGATAGCATAAGCCAAACACAGGGACAAGAGCCCCCCACACACACACACCATGGTCAAATGAATGAGTGCATTCTAAGATAGTGCAAAGTAGTCTATGCCTTCTGACTACCTCAGTGGGATCCAAGTGTAGTATCAAGAGGTTTTCTAGAACTGTGTAGGGAAGCTGGAGGAACTGGCACATGGATCTAATCTCAACATTTGGGAAGTAAAGGTTAGCCTGGTCCACAAAGCAAGCTCCAGGACAACCAGAGCTATACAATGAAACCTTGTCTTACACACACACACACACACACACACACACACATACACACACACATACACACGAACTGCCTGGGTAAAGTTTTTTGTTTTATTTTGAAAATACAAAATAAAAAAGGTTCTAAACTGGGTGATAATGGCTTATGCCTATAATCCCAGCACTGGGGAGGCAGATCTGTGAGTTTGAGGCAAGCCTGATCTACAGAGTGAGTTCCAGGACAGACAAAGCTATACAGAGAAACCCCATCTCAAAAAAAAAAAAAGTTTTAGATGTCAAGACTAACCTGTTAGCACATAGTCTACTCTGTCCTCAGGAACCAGGGGTCACAGAGGATGGCCCCTGGACTCAGCACTAAGGGCCTCAGTGGTCTTTAGGCCACAGAGTAGCTGTTCACTGGGGTTCTGGCAGCACTGGCAGGAAGGAGGGTTTAGTCCACTTAGTGCCACTGTTAGCTAGTCAGAGAGCCTGGGTCACAGAGGAGACAAAGCACTCCACAGCAGAGAAAACCTTGGCATTCCCAGCGCCATCATCCTCAGTTCCTCCTTTTTTTCAGTGTAGGTGTTTCCTTATCTAGAAGTGATAAGGGTATTGCTCCATAGGGTTTCCAGGAGGATCTAGGTTCTGGCCTTTGATTTGCCTTGAGCAATGTGACAGGTTGACCTGTGTCCCCTGAATTTATCTGAAGTCCTATGTCCTACTGTGTCAGATTGAGACCTGTCATTGCACATGCAATTAGCTAGATTAACACTAGGGCCTACTAGAGAGGAGTGGGCCAAATCCAACATGGCTGGAGTTCTTACAAAGAGGGAAGATTTGAATAGACACAAATAGAGGAGTGTGCATGTGTATGAAGATAGAGACAGAGAGTAGGGTGACAAAGCAAAAGCAAATGAACCCTTTCTGCACCTCAAAGCTAGACTTCTGACCTCCAGAATATGGAAGGAGGCCATTTCTGGTGGTAATGCCACCCAGTCCAGAGGAAGCCCCAGTTTAGGGAAGCCCCAGGACATTCAGCAGGATGGGACAATTGGCTCTGGAGAACAGTAGTGTCACGAAGTATTAGGGTCCCTCAAGGCCCAGCCTTACTCTTCTACTTGACTCCTTGTCAGTCCTGCTCTCTATCCAGCTGCATTCTGCTCACCCAGGCTACAGTGTGTTTCCTTCCTATTGTTTCTTTCCAGGGCCAGGCAGGAAACTATCTACTTTGGGTCCATTAGGGACCACCCTAATATGTTGTGATGTTTTAGGGAGGGGGCATCTCCCTCTACTGTCTCAACTAGCTTTCATGAATCTTGCCCTTCTTCTTCCTCTCTAGGCTCAGTCAACCCCTCAGCGAAGTCAGGAGCCTGATATTCCACTTCTTTTTGCTTCTTTCCAGCTTCCTTCCTTTCGGAGACATGGCAGGCCCTGGCCTCTTTGTCTCTTAGCTCCTAACTCCTGTTGTGTCCACCTATCTACCTCCTGTACTCTGAAGAAGGGCCTCTGCTCATCAAACGATAATCAGCCTTTTGGTGGCCCTTACTGTACTCTAGATCAGAGTCTAATTAGGGACATTTTTATTTGTTTATTTGCTTTGGTTTTTCAAGACAGGGTTTCTCTGTTTAACTGCTATGGCTGTACTAGATCCAAGGCCAGGCTGGCCTCGAACTCATAGATATCTACCTACCTCTGCCTCCCCAGTGCCAGGATTAAAGGTGTGTGCCACCATACCAAGCAGTGGGTACTTCTTAAGGGCACCCCACTCTCTAATTTATCTATGGTTTCTAATGCCCAGCCTAGAGTTCAGGGAAGCCTGGTAGGATGAACAAATGATCAGAAAAGGAGCCCTTGGGTAACCCTTGGGCAACCCTGGTAATTATTAGTCTCTTTTATCAGCACTCACATTATTGCTTCAGAACTCATAGTCAGAGATACGTTGGTCTCTCAGCCTGACCTTGGCCGATCTGCCACGCAGACTTGGGGACAATGTCACTGCTAGCACAGCTAAGAGAGATGTCAAAGGCTAGGGTTCACTGATGCAGGTGGCGAGATGACCTGGAAGTGTACCCTGTCCCCAGCTCCTTGATCCAGATTGGTCAGTACTTTAGGTTGGGCATGCTCTTCCACTTGACTTACCCTGATGTTAAGGCTGGCCACTACCACCTCTCCTGTGGGTGTGATGATGGGTATGTTCTCACAGATGATCCCCTGCTCCACATCCACCACCTGGCCTGTAGAGAGAAGGCATGGAAGAACAGGAACACAACATTTTACTGCTTTTCTGTGCCCTGTTGCTTATCCCTTGTTCTGTTGGCACAGGCTTAACCTATCTCAATAGCAGACCCCCGGTTCCCCAAACAGTATGGTGTGTTATAGGGCCACATGGGAAAACAGAGGTCTTCCAACAAGTCAATAATATCAGAGTCAAGTAGCATGCCCTAAGCTGCCACCTTTTTTCCCTCTGGAACCTGAGGCATTTAGTGGGTACTCTTGCCCTACAACAACGGTCACGGTGACATTGTAAGATCAGCTTCAATGCCTGGGCTCCTTTGCTGCAGTACTCTGACTCCTCTGAATTGGCTGCTGGCTGAACTTTCTTTTGTGCTTTCACGCTCTCTTGACTTCTTTTTCTTTAGTTTCTTTTTGGAACAGGGTCTAAATACTACAGCCCTCACTGATCTTGAATATGCAGCAATCCTGCCTAAGCCTCCCAAAAGCTGGGATTACAGGCATTAGCCACTTAAGAATTTAAACATTTATTTATTTTAAAATATCTTATTTATTTATTTTATTTTAGACAGAATGCTGATCTTGACATCACCATGCCTGCTTTATGTGGTAGTACAGATTGAACTAAGGGCCTTATTTATGCTAGACAAACACTAACTGAGCTATATACAGAGCCATATAAATCTTTTTTGTTATTGTTGTTGCAGTGTTGGGAAATGAACCCAAGTTCTCATACATGCTAGGTAAACACTCTATTATTGGACTACATCTCCATCCCTCACTGCCTTAATTTCTCTACTTGCTTTGTATGGGTGTGCAATACCTAGCACTTAGAGGCCCCTCTCTCTTAACTAGTAACCAAGACCAACACATTTGGAAGGGTGTGTCAGCACTCAACTGGTAGCCAGTGCTATGGAGAATGCAGGCTGCTGGGCCAGCCCCCTCCTGAGTGACCTAGTCTTAAATGACCTTTCTGGCAATGAGTCTTAAATAGATGAGACAGGGTACACAGGGGTCTCTGAGTGGGTGGTATGGGAGGAGACAACACAGTAGGTAGAGAGGCAGAGGAAGCATTCTGCACAGAGGGTATCCAAAGTATCTTACCTTGGATCTTCAGGGGCCCCTCTACATGGATATCAGACTGTATTATGGCCCCAGGCTCACCCTGAGCCTCTTCTAGATCTCCTGTCCTCTTAAAACGACAGTGTTGGACATCATCAAATACTTGGAACATCTCGTACACCCTGGCCGTGTAGCCAGCCAACTCTGTCACCTATAAGGAGGGTGACATGAGCTCAACCACAGCCAGTTTGGAAGTGGGAGGGCAGGCAGAGTGGGAACTACACTGGGGTCACCTCTTTGTAGGATGACATGATCCTCTCGGTGGCATCCGCAGCAGCTGTGAGGAGGTTTCGGGCAATGGTGAAAGCTTCTGTGCGTTCGCTAACCAGCTCCTCCTCCTTCATTTCCAATGCTGCCTTCTTCATGGTCTCTGAGTCTGCAAGCCAAGATTGGTGGTAGGAGAGACAGTGGAAAGTCACAGATTCATCATGGAAAACATAATAATTGTATATAAAATGTTATGACAGATGCACAGGGCACTTATGTTCTTCACCTCACAGCACAGATGAAAACTAACTCACAGGAGAAAATGGGCAAAACTTGTTGTTGGATATGATTTCTTAGCTATGAGACGAGAAACACAAGCAACCAAAGAAAAACAGATCAACCAGAACTTCAAAATTAAACATATTGAGCACTGAGGGACATCATTACTAAACTGCAACGGCAATATGCAGACTAAAAAGGAATACTTTTCAACCACATGGCTAGTAGAGGTGTAGTTCTCCGAAACTTTCCTTAGCCCAGAGCAACACAGCATTTGGGTGGTGGAAGCAGGAGAATCTTGAGTTCAAACAGCTGGCAAATGATCCAAGTAAGACCCTTATATATAAATGGGCTATTTCAGTGATAGGTATTTCAGTTGTCTGAAGACTAAGGCAGGAGGACTGCCACATGTTTAAGGTCAACCTGAGCTAGTATGAAATATTTCCTAAAAAAAAAAAAAATTAAAGATATATAAAGAGCAATAAAGTGAGCTGGTGAAGTGGCTCAGCTGGTAAAATTGCTTGTCACTAAGCCTGATGACCTGAGTTTGATCCCCAGCATCTATATGGTAGAAGTTGAGAACTGACTCCCAAAAGCTGTCTTCTAACCTCTATATGTGTGTAATAACATGCACACTTCCTCATCCGACTAACAAAATAAATAAGTAAATATTATGCAAATATTAAAAACATTAAGTTTATAGAAAGTTTACTAGACACCATTCATCATTAAGGAAACTAATATCACCAAGAAATAATATGTCATCTTGACCAGGGAAGCTGCAGCAGAGGTAAGAGGAGACATTGGCCAGGTGAGAAGTAGGACCCCTATCCATGCCTCATCCAGGAGGAGATCAAATGGAAAAACGCTTGGAAGTTCCTCACGAAGTTAAAGAGTGAGTTACCAAAGGACCTAGGAATGCCTCTCCTAATTATAAACAAAAACATGAGCTCACACAGAAGCTCATTGTATTGAATGTTCATAGTAGTGCTATTCATGATAGCCAAAAGGTGGAAACAACCAGCCTGTCTGGCAATGGATGAGTGGATAAAGACACTAAAGTGTACCTTTGTTTTTCGAGACAGGGTTTCTCTGTGTACCCTTGGCTGTCCTGCATTTACTTGCTACACACACCAAACTGGTTTTGAACTCACAGAGATCCACCTGCTTCTGCATCCCTGAGTGCTGGAATCAAAGGTGTGTGCCTCCACACCCTCAAAATATATCTTGTAGAAGAACAAAACTGGATCCCTCTTTCTCACCCTATACAAAATTTAATTCTAAACGAATCAAATGCCTTTGTACATTGGTATAAGGATACACTCTTGAAATCCCAGCACTTAGGAGGTGGAAGATGAGGCTCAAAAGTTCAAGGCCCTCGTTGGCTACATAGTAAATTCCAGGTCACCTTAAGCTACATAAAATTCTGACTCAAAAACAAACAAACAAAGAAAAAACAAAACAAACAGGCTGGTCATGGTGGCACATAACTTTAATTTCAGCATTTGGGAGGCAGAGGCAGGTAGATCTCTGTCAGTTCGAGGCCAGCCTGGTCTACAAAGTGAATCCAGGAAAGCCAAGGATACACAAAGAAACCATATCTCGAAAAACCAAAAAAGGGATGGGGGCAAATTCAACGAACAGACAATTCTTAAAAGATGAAGTACAAATGGTCAATACATATACGTAAAATATTTAACACACCGGGCCAATGGAATGGCTTAGTAGGTAAAGTGTTTGCTGTGTGAGCCTGATGACCTAAGTTCAATTTCTGGAATCCACGTAAGGTGAAAGAGAACTGATTTCGCAGTTTTCTGACCTACACATACATTCTGAGTCTTATGTCCACCACACCATACACATACAATAAATAATAAATAAAAAAGGAAAAAATGTTGAACAGCCTAGCCACCAGGGAAATATAAGTCAAACTATATCAAAGTTCTATCATCCTAGTGAGAATGCTACCATCAAGCTCCAGGACAGCCAGAGATACAAAGTGAGAACTCCTTTTTAAAAAATGAAAAGAAAAAGAAAGGGGCTGGAAAGATGGCTCAGTGGTTAAGAGCACTCACTGGCTGCTCTTCCAGAGGACCCAGGTTCAGTTCCCTGCACCCACATGGCAGCTCATAACTGTTAGTAGCTCCATTTCCAGGGGATCTGACACCAATACTCACAGACAAAAATACAAGCAAAACACCAATGAATATAAAACTAAAAATAAATAAATTTAAAACAAAAAAGAACAGGTTGAAGAGATGGTTCAGAGGTTAAGAGCATTGGCTGCTCTTCCAGAGGACCTGGAACCCACATGGCAGCTCACGACTGTCTCTAACTCTAGTTCGAGGGAATCGGACACCCTTATACAGATATACATGCAGGCAAAACATCAATGCACATAAAATAAATGAATAAATAATAAAATAAAGTAAAAAAAAAAGGAAGCTAGGCAGTGGTAGCACATGCCTTTAGCACTTTGGTTTTTCTTGAAAAACCAAAAGTGCCACCCTTGATACTAGTAATACTACTCTGCTGTACTTGCAGACAGGAGCCTAGCATAACTGTCCTCTGAGTGGCTTCACAGAGCAGCTGATGAAAACAGATGAAAAGACATACAGCCAAACATTAGGTGGAGCTCAGGGAGTCTTATAGAAGAGGGAGACCTCTAACAACAGGAGCAGGGACTGTCTGTTGCCTGCCCACAAATCCCTTTCTCCTAACTGGTCAGCCTTGTCTAGCCTTGATAGAAGATGTGCCCAGGTCTACTAAAATTTAATATGCCAAGGTGGGTTGATATCCCTAGGAGGTTGCCCCTTCTCTGAGAAGAAAAAAAAAAAAGTGGCCATGAGGAAGGGGGAGAGGAGGGAGGGACTGGGAGGAGAGGAAGGAGGGGAAGTTCTGATGTAAAGTAGATAAATTAGGGCTGGAGAGAAGGCTCAGAGGTTAAGAGCACTGGTTGTTCTTCCTAAGGTCCTGAGTTCAATTCCCAGCAACCACATGATGGCTCAGGCATACACACAGACAGAACACTGTGTAATAAATAAGTAGGATCTTTTAAAATTAATTACTTAATGGAAGAAAACCCAAACCAAACAAACAAATAAAAATAGAATGACAACAAATGCTGGAAGGATGTGGGAAAAGGCGAGCCTCTTTATATTTCCAGGCAGGAACGCAAACGGGTGCAGCTGCTATGTCAGTGTAGAGGTTTCTGAAAAAACTAAAAGTAGAATTCCCATATAACCTATCTGTACTACCTAAAGGACTCTAAGTCCTACCACAGAGTTACTTGTACATCCATGATTATTGCTGCACTATTAACAATAGACAAGAAATGTAAACAGCCTAGATATCTATTAATAGATGAATAGATAATGAAAATTGGTACATATATACAATGGAGTTTCATTCAGCCACAAAAAATGAAATTATGTCATTTACTAGAAAATGGATACAAATGGAGATCATCATACTAAGCAAATGCTGGATTCAGAAAGATAAATATGTTTTCTAAAATTTGTGAAAATGGAGACTAGCAGGGGCAGGGAGAGAGACAGAAGAATGTAACAAGAGCTAAATCTGGTCAGAGTACATGATATAGTTGAATGAAAACACCATTTTGAAAGCCGGGTGTAGTGACACATGCCTTTAATTCCAGCACTTGGGAGACAGAGGCATACAGATATCTGTGAGTTCAAGGAGAGCCTGGTCTACAAATTGAGTTACAGGACAGCCAAGGCTATACACAGAGAAACCCTATTCTGGAAGAAACAAACAAACAAACAAAAATGCCTTTTCTTTATGAAACCTATCACTATATACAAAGAATATGTAGTTAAAAAAAACAATTATAATAGGCCAGATGGGATGACACATGCCTATTTCAAAAGAACATACAATGAAATATTAGTCAACCATAAGAGGGAGCAAAGGACTGGTTCATCTTCCAACACAGATGAACCTTGAAACAATTTTGCTCAGTGAAAGAAGCCTGCAGCAAAGGTCACATACCATAAGATTCCATTTCTATGAGATGTATGGAATAAACAAATCCATAGAGATAGAAGGAAGATTAGAGGGTGCCAGGGACAGAGTGAAGGAGGATTAGGACTGATAATTGATCTGGAGTTACCTTTAGAAGTAATAAAAATGTTCTGGACTTAAGAGAGTAGTGATGGCTACACAATTGTGAATACATGAAAAAATCTGAGGCATATGTTTTAAAAGGCTGAATTTTACAGTCTGTTAATCACATCTCAATAACATCTATAAAGAAAAAGATCTGCAATACCTTCAATCATTCCTGCTGAACATCTGGATCTCTTCGTCCAACACCTAGTGAGCTTTTTTTTCTGAAGTGTGACTTTTCTCTTCCTGACTTTGCTTTCTCCACCCAAATTATTCCTCACATCCTACTCTGCACCATGATTTCTACTCCTGCCAACAGCCATCTCTGATTTCTCACAATTATCAGTCCTGTTTAAACCTGCTTTTTTGGTCACAGTTTACATCCCATGGTTATGCCCTTGAAGTCTTATTAGTTGACAGTTTTGATTTTCGTGACTTTGTGATCCACAGAAGAGCAAGACAATTATTATTATTATGTAATATGTGAGCACACATGTACCACTGCATACATGTGGAGGTTAGAGGACAGTTTTGTGGAGTAGGTTCTCTTCATTTTTATGTGGGATCCAGAAATCAAATTTAGGCCAGGCAGTGGTGGTTCATGCCTTTAATCTCAGCACTTGGGAGGCAGAGGCAGGTGGATCTTTGTGAGTCTGAGGCCAGCCTGGTCTACAGAATGAGTTCTAGGACAGCCAGGGCTACACAGAGAAATCCTGTCTCAAATAAACCAAAACAAACAAATCAAATTCAGATTGCCAGGTTTTCAAGGCAATCACCTGTAACTGCTAAACCATCTTATCAGTCCTAGAGCAAGGTTTTTACACAAGGAACCTGGAAATGATAGTAGGTGACAGGAAGGAAGCCAGCTCTAAGGGCCCTTGGGTTCAGATGGGTAAATAATAAGTGCCCACTGGGGAGTCATCAAGGGGCCAGGGCTCTAGGGCTGAAGCTGTAGAAAGATGTATCCAGGATATATGTGGCCCTCAAGTGGATTAATGGCAGGGGTTGCTCAGGGAGAAAAAGATACAAAGAGTCACCTCAGAAAAGTTTGAGAAGGAAAGGGAACAGGATGGATGGATGCCTTTGGCGCCTGGCCCAGGAAATGGGGGAGGGGAAATGAATGCACTTAAGGGTGTGGTGAGCTAATTCTAAATATCCTCCTTTCTACTGTGACTTCAAAGACATAGCTCCAGTAGGCGGCAGGGACACTAGCCTTCCTTCCCAACACCCCTTCAGCTTTTCCTTTGACATAAACACAAAGGAAGGGGCTCCACAGGTTTTTGTGGCTAGGACATTCTGGCAGCAGCTAGCATTTTCTAGAGGCAGAACCTCCTAGGACCTTTGGAATTAAGGCTTTGTAGGAGGACCTTACAAAATACTGCAATCCCACCCCCTTTCCAGCCCTGGTGCTGCCAATGCAGGCCAGCAAAACAAAGCTTATCTAAAATCATCCCCAGTGGTTAAGTGGCTTCTCTCTGGCTTTCCTTGAAGCACCTGGAAAATCACTTGCCACATCTACACCCTTATCCAGCTCACCATAAAAGGTGAGGAAGAGAAATCATACAAAAAAGTGGAATACATAGAGAAGCAGTATTTAGGTGAGCAGTAAGGCAGAGCACATAAAGGCTTGTTGTCAAGATAGGCAGAAATAGTTAAATGCTTAAAAAAAAAAGTTTAAGTTGTGCATGACTGAAGGAAAAACAACAGGTGATCTGGAGAATTTTTGAGCAAAAAGAAAGACTGAGATGCTAGAAAGCCTAAATATGGCTCAGTGATTAAGAGCAGTTGCTGTTTGTCGTGGTTTGAATCAGAATGGCCTCCACAGGCTCATATTTTTGCATGCTTGGTCCTTAGTTGGTTAAACTGTTTTGGGTAGGATTAGAAAGTAAGGCCGTGTTGGATGAGGTATGTTAAGGGAGCTGGGGATGGGCTTTGAGGTTTCAAAATCCCAGGACAGGCTCAGTCCCTCTGGCTCTTTGCCTCCAACTTGTAAGTAAGATATGAGTTATGAGCTACTGCTCCAGCGCCATGCCTGCCTCCCTGCTGCCATGTTCTCTGACATAATGGTCATGGACTCATCCTCTGAAACTATAAGCAAGCCCTCAGTTAAATGCTTTTTGTTTTGTTTTGTTTTGAAGATAGGGTTTCTCTGTGTAGCCCTGGCTGTCCTGGAACTCAATCTGTAGATCTGGTTGGCCTGGAACTCAGAGATCTACAAGTGCTAGGATTAAAGGTGTGTGCCACTATGCCTGGCTCAATGTTTTTTGTTTTTGTTTTTTATAAATTGCCTTGGTCATGGTGTTTCTTCATACCAATAGAAAAGTTACTAAGACCTCTTACAGAAGACCTAGGTTTAGAGGTTACAACTGTCTGTAACTCCAGTTCCAGGGGATCTGATGCCCTCTTCTGGCTTCTACAGGCACGAGGCATGCATTTGATACACAAAATTTTAAAAAATTTAAAAAGAAAAACATGCATATTTGAAAGAAACACATTTCTGATGAAGGAGAAGCAGAAACCCACATCTAAACACGTTGCACTAAAGCTGGAGAATACCAGAGAAAGAAAATGATAAAGATACCTAGAGAGAAAATGCATAATACTAATAATTAAACTGGTTTAAAAAAATTTAATAGCTATTCAAGAAGTGAGAAGACGATGAAATCTTGTCAAATGACTAGAAGAAATTAACTTTGTGCTAAAATTTTATGCTTACTCTAAGTAGCTTAGAAATAAGTGTGAAAAGCTATTATTTTCAGACAACAAGCTAATTGAAAAAGACCCCATAAAAGAATGTTTTAGCCAGGCACAGTGTAATACCAGCACTGGGAAGGCTGAGGCAAGTTCAAGGCTAGTCTGGGTTACAAAAAGAGATCACATTTCAAATAAAAACAAACCACAAGAACAAAGAGTGGACTTCTGAACTAAGTCTATTGGGAAGGATGATTGAAGTGTAGGAAGGGAATGTTGAGCAGAGAAATCAGTATGCACATGGGTGAGTTTACACACATCATGCAAAGCCATAATGGAGAATGAAATGTACATGATAGTCATGTGTGCTGGCATACAGCAGTAATTCCCAGCACTTGGGAAATGGGCAGGAGGATCAATAATTCATAGTCATCCTCAGCTACATATTGAGTTCAAGGTCAGCCTGAGCTATAAGAGACCTTATCTCAAAAATCAAAACACACAAAACAAACCTAAAGGGAAAAAAAAGAAACTAATGAAACTAAACTTCAGGTTAGGCTGTAATGACTAGTTTTATGGGGGTTGTTTCCCTAAGTAAACTATTTTTTTAAATTTTTATTTCAGTTTTATATTAATCACAGGTTATTTACTTTGCATCCCAACCCCCTCCCTCATTCCCTCTCAATCCCACCCTCCCACCCTCATCTCCTCCCAGCCCCTTTCCAAGTCCACTGATAGGGGAGAACCTCCTCCCCTTCCATCTGACCCTAGCTTACCAGGTATCTCCAGGACTGGCTGCATTGTCTTCCTCTGTGGCCTAGCAAGGCTGCTCCTCCCTTGGGGGGGGGAGGGGCGGGAGAGGTAAAGGGGGCAGGAGAGGTAAAGGGACCAGTCGTTGAGTTCCTGTCAGAAATAGTTCCTGTTCCCCTTACTAGGTAGGTAAACTATTCTAAGGCTTGGGAGGAGGGCCTTCAAGGACAACTACTAAAAGTTGAGTGGATAAACTGCAAACCAATAAAGGAACAAACAGAAATAAAGACAACCCGACCACCACCAAAGTTAGCAGGTAGGGCAAGCTTCCTCCCCCTCACTCCCAAAGGCAATTCGTCAGAACAATTGTTTGGAAGAAACCAAGGCTGGGGTCATGAAGAGGCTCACCCAAGCCATGTTCTATCCTTATCTTAAAATTGGACTGAAGACATTAAAATTAAAATTGGACTGAAGATATGTGGATAAAAGGTACACATATGTGGAGAAGTGTTATATAGTATTCCTAAGTTGTGGTCCTGTGTTAGGCTTCTTGGCACCAAGGACCATGAGATGCATATGTGGCAGCAAATTGCTCTGAGGAATACCTGACTTTTGATAATTTGAAGACCAGTAGGGCCTCAGCATACCCAGGTAGAAGGGGAAAGTAGGCTGGTTGAGCTCTGGGCCCTAAGTCCCTGGAGCCTTGGCTCTTACCTGACTCTGCATAGCCAGTGGCTGTGATGATGGGGACAGCTACCATGAGCAGGCCAGATGCACTCCACACATATTTCATGAGGAACTGTTCCAGCATGACATACCATAGGCGTTCCAGCAGGATGAGGTTGATTTGTGAAGCCAGGTCTTGATAGGAGTGCTGTAGTAGTGCCAGTTCCACCTGCCAGGTAAATAGATATTCAAATGTCTTGTGACAACTCCTGGGGGGTGATGGTAAGAGTCCCTAAGTAGGGCCCACATAAATGCTTCGGTGTCTGATGGCCACAAGGCCAAGGGCTTAGCGACTGTATCTGTGGTGGGGCCAAGTCTCAAATAAGAGTGATGGTAAAGGACTGTCTGATGTTACAGGGCACCTCCTATCCTCTCAACTACTGCTATGGTTGGGACACTCACCATTCCTCTCTGTACCCTGCCTGGGCAGTTTCTGGATCCAGGCCCCTGAGGGCAGTTGCCTTTCATCTTCTGCTGACCCCATTTCTTTGAGCTCCCTCTAGTGCCTCCCCACTCCAGACATCAAGAGCAATAGCTTTTCCACCTTGAACTAAGCAAAGAGCAGCACAAGAGAGAAAATGATAAAGTTCTAGGTTTTATAAAACTCACTGAACAATCTCAGTCTACTTAGACCTCATTTCGTGCTATATTCCCAGGCTCTTTTCTGTGAGAAACTTACACTGAATTTACCACCAAAACCAGGTGAATATGCTCTCAAGCCTAGTAGAAGCTACAGACAGGCTCAAAGGAGTCTAGAAGTGTCAGGAAGTACTCACGGCAAGGTGACTGTGGTATTTTGGATTGCTCTGCCCTCCACCCCCATGCCCAAACAGCACCATACTGTTTGTCAAGTGTTTTTACTTCTTTCTCCCATTTTACTGCCACACACCTCATTGTGCATATTCTCATGTCTATTGTAGGACACAGAAGCAGACAGAAACAAAGTGACCTGCTCAAACTCATATTGCCTAGACGTTGCAAGCAGTGTAGAAATGTAGACTGCATAGGCTGGCCTGCTAGGAGAACCAGATTCTTAGTTTTGAGGTATTGTGGGTAGAACCTAGGGCCTTGGGCATTCTAGGCTTCAAGCATGCTAAGTGAGCACACTGAGCTATAGTCCCAGCCCTAGAGAATGAAACTTGTTTTTATTTTTATTTTTTGAGACAGGGTCTCATTATATAGTCCTGGCTGGTTTGGAATTTTTTATGTAGACCGGGGCCAACCTCAAATTTGTGGCAAATTTACTGCCTCTGCTTTTCAAGTGCTGGGATTAAAGGTGTGTACCACCATGCTTGACTTTTTTGTTGTTTTGAGAAAGCCTCACTCTGTAGCCCAGAAACTCACTATGTAGCCCATGCTGGCCTTAAACTCACCGGGATCTTCCTGCCTCAGCAGGATAGCTTGAGTCTTACAAATGAAGATGATTTAAGACTTACTTTGTTAGTTGGGAATGGTGGCACACGCCTGTAGTTCCAGCACTCTGGGAGTGCCTGATCTACAAATTGAGTCAAGGACAGCGAAGGCTACACAGAGAAACCCTGTCTCAAAAATCCAAGAAGGAGGTTGTGTACACTAGTAAGAATATTGTGCACTCCCAAGCCACCCATGGTGGTCTACCACCCCATACAGCTTTATAGATGAGGATTAGACAAGCAGGCAAAGCGTATATACAAGGTCCATGTGTCCCAGCAAGTGAACTCTATTACTGAATGTGCTATTTCCTGAAGCTATCCCAGAAGTCTTTTTAAAAACAAGTTTTCTCTCTTTGTGCCCTCTGTGTAGGCCTGCTCATATAGCCCAGCTTTCCTAAAACTCAGCCTCTCATTCCTGAAGTGAGTGCACCACCTTGCAACACCCTGGTAATCTAGGTTCGTGGTTTGAGCTGGTAGCAGTGCCAGCTAAAGTTGATGGTGTAGCTATGGGTATTGTGCCAAAGTGCCTCACCCAAGGCCCTGGCTGCTTTCCAAGGCCCTGCAGCGCAGCATTCACGAGAAGAGAATGGAGAGGGGTTATAGTGAGGGTGAGTTACTTTTTCTCTTAATTTGAAACCTGACCTGGACCAGCAATACCTCTTTCTCTTTTCAGAATGTAGAGATAAATCCTTTTTTAAAAGTCAAGGACAAGCCTGATTCTCTAAATGATATGCAGCCAATATGACAAGGTCCTGGGGCAAGTGGCTACCTGACCCAGGAAACATACACAGGCCTTCATGAAATGGGTGCTTTTGTGTCCCTCCCCTGCCCCAAGCACTGGGGAACTGAAACCAGTGGCCCAAACGGACACAGCCCGGAGGCAGCTGCAACTATAGGCACAAGGAAGGGGACGGGCTGCTTCAGAATAAAGCTTGCACTGGCCTAAAGTAGCCTTTTCCACTGTCTGCCAGGATCCCCTGGCCCCAGCCCACCTCATGGAGTGGCTGGGATCTGGGCGGAAGGGTGGCTAAGAACAGACACACTGGGGGAGGGGCCATGGGGGGAGGGTGGGAGAGGAAGCTTGTCAGGCCTCCATGGCAGAGGCTGGGGCCAGGCATCCCCAACCCCGGTGGTGGGGTGGGGGGAGGCAGCTAGCATGTTGCTTGCTAAGCCTGTCAGTCACTAGCCAGGCATGCCTGGGGCTCTGACAGCCTTGACCCTGAGTACAAACACAACAGCAGCCGCGGTGCTGAGCTCTGCTTGTTAACCTCTGCTTGGGCTGAGTCATGCCCATAATACCCAACAGCCTAGCCAGCCAGCTCCGCTGGACGCCAGCCTTCAAAGGGCCCAGAGATGCAAGAGAGGTTAGGTAGCAGGCTGTGTCCTACCATCCCTGCTCCCAGTAGGAAGGAGTCTTTAATTCCTCCCAGTTGGTTGCAGGAATGGTTGACTGAAAGATTGGAGTGAGCTGGACCAGTAGCATCTCAAATCGATACAATCCAAAGCTCCAAGTCCAAGACAATTTTACCAAGGACGCAGAAGTGACCTGGAGGTTGCAGGCAGCCAGCATAGAGAAGTTCCCACCCAGTGGTAACATTTATCCATTTCTGCACCTTAAGACTACAGCCATCCAAGACCTAGACTGAAGCTCATCCCAGTGCCTATTCAGAACTTTAACATTAGCCTGAGTACGCCTTTGGATTTCCTTACTGCTATAGCTGGCTGCCATGGGTCTCCCAGCCACTTCCTCTCCTATATAAACAGCATCTCAACCTGCCCCACCTCATGACCCCCGTAGAAGGCAATTTCCTCTGAGTTGGCCACCACTCGAGAGTGCATGTAGCGCAGTTGCCCCTTCCTCCTTGCCTCCTCTGCCACCAGCTCCCCAAACTTAGGAGAGAAGGCTCGAAGCACATTGGCTGTGAGGAACACCACCAGGCCAGCAATGGCTGAGGGCCAGGCTGTGCCAGCTCCTCGGGAGCGGGCAGCACGAAGGAGAGTGTAGGAGGTCACAGCCACATCCAGGAGTGGCTTGGTCAGGTTGGAGTATAGGTGGGCTACAGAGGCAGCGAAGGTTACCACATCCTCTGTCAGAGACTGGTCAGGGTTTCGAAGCCGTCCATCCATGTTGCTTACTCGGTAGTAAGTCTGCTGGGAAAAGTACAGGCTGTAGGCATGAGCTACTAGACGGCTTCGGAAAGACAGGGCCAGCTGGCCTTCTAGGTAGCGGATGGCACTGTTGATGAAAGTGGCAGGAAGGGCGATGAGGAGCCACTGCAGCAGTTGCCAGCTAAAGGCCCTCGGGTCCTTACGTACAATGCAGCGGGCCAGTCTGCCGTCCAGGCGGGCAACATACACAGACAGGAAAGTTCGGCTTACCAGGGCAGCAGAGTGCAGGGCCAGTAGCCCTGTTTCCCGGCACAAGACTCGGGGGAACAGCAGCCTCAGGAGCACCAGGAGCCGCTGCAGGAATACCCGGTTCATGCCAGCCTTGGCTGCGGTGGCCCCAGAGGCCTCTTGTGTGGGCTCCCCAGCTAGAACCTGAGGGCTTCTGGCCGGAGTCAGACATTGCCGTACTAGAGGGTAGATTTTGTGGATTCCATAAGCTGTGAGGGCCAGGACCACAGCTGTGCGCTTCAGCGTGGTAGCCCGTGAGGGTCGCGGAGTGGAGAGCACCGGCATGTCACCTGGATTGGTGGGCAGGCAGAGGGCTGGAACTGCTGCCCGAGGCTGCAGTTGAGGCCAGATGCTGGAAGGGTTGTAGCTCAAACCCAGGGATCGTTGTCTAGGCAACTGGAAACCTTGAAGTGATCCCTGAGACTGTTGCTTTGGAACCCCGGGGTGGTGCTGGGGCCCCTGGATCAGTTAGCTTAGGATCCTCCAGGGTCGTGGCCTCTTCAGGCAGCACAGGTGGAAGAAACTGGCTTCCTTAGTCCCTGAGGTCAGAGCCTCGAGAGGTCTTAAGCAGAGAGCCTCTCTCTTCCCTTCTACCTCCCTCCTCTTACTGCTCCTCCTTTCCCTGGTGACGCCCCTCCCCGGGGCACCAGGGGTTTTGTCCGCTCAGCAGACCAGCTACGACGACAGTGTCTTCGCCACCTCACAGAGTCCCCACCCACCCACTCCTCCCCAGAGGTGAAGGGAGGGGGAGGAGGCGGAGTCCGGGCTAGGGGCGCTCCACCCCGTTCTCGCCCCACGGCTGGGCCCCGCCCCCACTCAGTTCACTGAGATGAGATGACCGCGCAGACTAGAGAAGCGGCCTGAGCATTCCCGCCAAGGTTCCTCCGAGCTCCACCCCTGCGTGTCCGAAGTGTCAGAGGCGCCTCGGTCGGCCATTAGCCTCCACCCTCCACTTCCTCTCAAGACTTTGGCAACCAGCCCGAGGCCTGGGGACCAGGCGGGAAACGGTAGTGGGCGGAGCAGTTTGGGACCTCACCAGGGCTTGTAGGCGGGGCCCGACACTCGTTTCCGGTTTCCGGCCTCGGGCTAGGGGGCGGGCCAGAGCCTTGGTGAGAGTTTGGTAGTTGCGGTGGGGCGTGTGCGTTGGCTGAAACTCGGTAAGCTGGGTCCGCGGGCATGGCTGGCTCTCGGACCGTTGAGCTTCCCCCAACCCCTTCATGAGCGACGAAGGAGACCATCCCAGAAAGACTGGGCATTCTGGGAAATGTCGGGATCCGGACTGACTTGGGATTTTAGGGTAGGGTTAGGCAGAGAGATGTTGGGATGACAGGTGGAGCGTGGCTCTAGGGGCGTGAAGGGGGCCCAGTAGTGAAGTCCCACCCGGAAGAGCTGCCCAAGTAGTCCCAGCTCCTCGAAGGCGAGATGTACTTGGGACGTTGTGGCGTACTAGGGCCTCAAGGAGGTCGCCTTTGGCTTCGGGCGAGACGTTCTGGTTCTGGAACTTTCTCTGGTAGGGCCTTGGCGCTTCTCAGTGAAGGCCTGCATTTACTTTTGGCCTGGATTCCTACCCTCTAGGAGTCGCTCTTGTAGGCCTTTTGAAAGTACATTGAGGCCTTACACCCCATGCATCCGCATGAGGAGTCAGAAGGCCGGTTTAGTCTCAAAAAGCAGCCATAGAAGGAGGCTGGAGACTGCTATGGTTATTTTTCCCCCCCAGGCATTTTGGGAGGAATGGGCCTCCTTGCTTGTGCGGAGGCCGAGGGTGTGGCGTTTGTAGAAGGTACACGTGTGAGGATTGCAGACTGAAAGACATGTAGTTCCTGTAGCTGAGGCTTCTGGTCAGGGAAAGGACCCCGATGGGTGCTGAGAAAGTCGTTCTGTTCATGTACTATTCTTATGAGAAGTATCTTTTCAGTTAAACAAATCTAAGGAGTCTTGGACTCCCCCCGGGGAAAGGAATCATCAGCAAAGGTCATGGTAATGCACATGTTGAAGGGCCACAAGTAACTTTCCCAGTCAAGGGAAGTTTGTTGGCTAAATAGCATCATTGACCAGGTATCCCTGTTCGATTAAGCTCTGTTTCAGCCAAGGTTTCAAAAGCTCTGAAACAGAGTTCCTCTCTAGGGTCCCTGAACTAGATGTCAGTGTGTGCCCAGCTCTCATGGTTCTTCCTGTTCCCTTTGTGTCCTGCCAGGAGACAAGTTGCCATCACTGTGTTGGAAACCTTTAAGTAACAGGATGAGTCTGCAGTGGACGGCAGTTGCCACCTTCCTGTACGCAGAGGTCTTTGCTGTGTTGTTCCTCTGCATTCCATTCATCTCTCCCAAAAGGTATGGTCAGGGAGCAACCAGGCATATGGGGAGGGTGCCTGTTTAACCTTGAATCTTATAGTTTCTGTGTGCAGCATTGGTGGACCCTGAAATTGGGGCTAGATGGAAACAAGTAAAATCTGTCTGGAGTGAGGGTGGCAGGAGTATGAGGTTTTTTTTTTTTTTTTTTTATCACTAATCTTGAACACTGTTTTGCTTTGTCACCTCTTCAGTTGTTTTCCTGTGCACGCGGCTGCCTTCTGGTCTTTGCAAAGGAAGATCTAACTTCAGTTTTATGAATAATATTCTCTTGCCTATCCTTGGGCCTCAGGGCTGTGGGGGATAGTTGTGTGGAAACCAGAATGCTTGCACCATTGGCTTACATTGCTGATGATTTGCTGACTTTTGTCCTCCTAACTAGCTCCTACTGGCATTGCTTAGTAGGCATGAGCATTATTCAGCCTATGAAGGATAAAGCCATATTCCCTTTTAACAAATAGGATTTGCTAAAAGTTAATTAGTTATTAATTTTTAAATTATTCATAGTACATCAACAATTATTCCTATTTAAATTAAGATGTTATAAAATCACCATAGTTAATAATACCTAAGGAATACTCTTGCCAAAACCCACACTGACACCCAATTCACAGGAAATACAGAGACCAAAACTCTGGTGGAGCTGTAGTAATCTTGCATGCTTTATCTGACAACTATCTTTGTTCCACCACTTAAGAGGTGAAGGCAGTAGGATCAGGAATTCAAGGTCTGTCTTGGCTACATAACAAATTCGAGGTTAGCACGAACTATATGAGATCCTGTCTGCAAAGGATAAAGGATAGGGAGAAAGCTATGTCAGTAAGTGCTTGCTATACAAGTATGAAGATCTGAGTTTGATCCCCATTACCCATGTAAAAGCTGGGCCCGGTGATACACTCCTACAGTGTTGTAGAGGCAAAGATCAGGAAGATCCGAATCAGTAAGCTCCAGGTTCAATGAGACCATTGTGGGGAAAAAATAAAGTGGAGAAAAAATAAAGTGGAGAATGAGTAAAGAAGATGCCTAGTTAAGGCCCCTGTACCAGCACAAACATGTATATGAAGACACATTGGAAAAATTGAAAAAACGGAGAAGAGCGTGGGGATTGATTAAGACCAGGTTAGAATGCTAAATGCAAGTTCAGAATCATAACAGGTCATGTTTCTAACAAACCACAACTGTTGATTTTTAACTCTGCATCTGATGATACAGATGATGAGGTCTCACTATGTAGGCTTGCAACACAGAGATTTACATGCCTCAGCCTCTGCCTCTCAAGTGAGAGGATTAAAGGGCATGCACTACCATGATCAGCCTAGCTTTCTGGTTTTTACCAGTATGTAATTCCTGAAGGCTTTTTTTTTTCCCTTTAGACATGGTTTCTCTGTGCATCTCTGGCTGTCATGGAACCCAGTCTGTATTCCAGGCTGGCCTTGAACTCAGAGAGATCCACCTACCTCTATCTTCTGAGTGCTGGGAATAAAGCATTACCTGCCCCCTCTAAGATTCATTCATTCATTCATTCATTCATTCATTCATTCATTCATTCATTCATTCATTCAAGTTCTCTATTTGCAGGTATGCCTGCATGACAGAATAGGGAATCAGTTCCCATTATGGATGGTTGTGAGCCACCATGTGGTTGTTGGGAAATTACTGAGAACCTTTGGAAGAGCAGACAGTGCTTTTAACCACTGAGCTATCTTTCTAGCCCCCTCTGAAGGATCTTTAGAGCCATAACTTAAATATTTATTCATAGAGATAATAGAGAGTCTGGGTTCCTTTTTATAACCTGGGGTGTTAGGAGTCTAGTCAAAAAAAAAAAAAAAAAGACAATAATGAAAAACGATTGTCAAATATTAGAATGACAAAGGAAAGTCAGACATAGGAGTGCATTTCTTTAATCCTACCTTTGGGAGGCCAAGGCAAGTAGATCTCTTTGAGCTCAAGGACAGCCTGAACTATATAGTGAGTTCCAGGAAAGTCAGAGCTACATAGTGAGACCCTGTCTCAAAAAAAAAAAGGCTAAAAAGGAATAACTGCATTCTTGGCAGGTGCTTCACCTATTACAAAGGGAAGTACAATTAAAAGTAAGTTACCCTTATTGGAAACTGCCAGTGTTTTAAGACTGATTTTTCCAGGTGTTTCTGCACATGTACAAAAGTCTTTTTACTAAATTCACCTGAACTTAATAAATAGGAGAAATATAAGCAGCAGCTGAGACTGATTTTGTACAAGCCCCTTGGCCACTGCAGATGAGCACCAAGTTGTCTTTCCATTTTGTTCAGGGTTTGTATTGCAAAAGTGTGTTTTCTTCAGTGTCTGTCTTCATCTCCTTCACAGATGGCAGAAGATTTTCAAATCTCGGCTGGTTGAGTTGGTAGTGGCGTATAGCAACACCTTCTTTGTGGTTCTCATTGTCATCCTTGTGCTGTTGGTCCTTGGTGAGTAAGCTGCAGCAGGGGATTGGTGCCTGACCAGATCCTGTTCCATGGCTTCTAAAGTCCTGTGCCACACTGGATGAATAGAAAGCAAGCTTTCTCAGAGACAAACTAATTAAGTGCCCTTTTGTTCATATGTTAAGGAAGTGCTACTAGCACTTATTTTGAGAGAGAATTTCTCCATGTGGCCCTGGCTGTCCTGGTATTTGCTCTGTAGACCAGGCTGGCTTCACATTCACAGAGCCACCTTCTAAGTGCTGAGATTAAAAGACAGTGTGTATGCCTGGCAGCTTTTTTGTTTATTTTAATTTTTTTCTCATCTTAAAAAGACACATGAGTTTTTTGTTTTGTTTTGTTTTTTAAATTTTGAGATAACATCTCTCCCCCTAGTCTAAGCTGGCATTAAGGTAGTTTTTTTTTGTTTGTTTGTTTGTTTTTTGTTTTTTTTTTTTGAGACAGGGTTTCTCTGTGCAGCTTTGGCTGTCCTGGACTCACTTTGTAGACCAGGCTGGCTTCAAATTCGCAGAGATCCACCTGCCACTGCCTCCTGAGTGCTGGGATTAAAGGTGTGCGCCAACACTGCCTGGCTCAGTAACTTGTACTGGGGTTACATATATGTGCCAGAATGTCTTCTGACAAAAGACTTCCAAGTACAGAACTGGACAACCAAGTAAACAGCCTAGCTGAAAAGGGGCTTCTGCCATATCCTATAATGTGAGGTAGAAAACTAGGTGTTTGGCAGTATGACTTAGAGACAGAGCTGAGACCTCTTGGCATATGTATAGATATAAGGTCTTTCCCAGTCTTTCAGCTGTATAGTTTTGTAATTCTAACATTTATATACATATCTGCAAGACGTTGAAAGAGAAATGAATCAAAGGGCAGGCTCAGGTGTTTGGGTGTGATAGGTGGTATGGGATGGTGGTAGACAAGCAGGGTGGTACATGCCTTTATTCCCAGCACAGTAGAGGTACTTGCAGGTGAATCTTTGTGAATT